CTGGTGTGTAGATACCCTAACGCCTACGGACCGCTACGATACGATTGTAATACGCAATGAAATGTTCGTGTAAAAGGTGCCGTTTGTAATATACTTTTTAATTTTCAAACCCACGATGTAGCCTCCTACGTCGTGGGTATTATTATTAGTTTACTACATATTAACCGACTAGCGACTCCCGCGCGGTTTCTCTCGCTCTGCTCGGCGCCTATTAATCGTAGCGTGATATTTTATAGCCTATAGCCTTCCTCGGCAAATAGGCTATGCATCACAGAAAAAAAATCTTCAAATCGGACCAAAAGTTTCGGAGATTAGCGCGAAACAAACAAATAAAAAAAACAAACTCTTCAGCTTTATAATATTAGTATAGATTATTTAATGAACTGTAAGTTCAGTCCACCTTTTCACCAGGTTTCGGATATAAAAATCGATTTCATGTTCACCCAGTCTTGGCATGTAATTAGGCCGAAATTCTATGTATAGTTTAGGCCTGATTATGTTACAAAACGTACAAACATGCAAGATAATAATCGTCTCGACTCATCACTAGTGAATAGCAGCTAGGGTGGTACCTGTAACCTTTACCTATCAAAAACAATTATCAGCTAACATTCGTCCAATTGCGAAGCTCTGAAATACGACATCAGCTGCGCGAACTACATAATTAAGTCATTAGACTCAATTGATACTCGAATTAAAAACAAAAAGTCTTTGTCAAACAATTACAAATAATAATCGCATCTCTCATAACTGCGAAAAAGAATAATTGATCTCATAACGTTTCTATAATTCCAGAAAGGCTGTAATTGTATTAAATGTTGTATGCATTGCTGTGCTGTTTCTCAGCCAATGATACTTGCAACTACAGCAACCGCTCAGTAGCAATAAAACAATAAACGGTGCCAATCCACCTTTAATTTTATTGTAGGCTATCATTTTAATGATGGCAAAGACATTCAACTTTCATAAAAGTAGATTAAATACATCGAGAAACATCTACACGTATGGGTAATTGCAATTCATTGCTGTAGCAACCCTGAGAAGTTGATTTAAAAAGGTTGCCAGCTGAGAAAATTACACGGTTCACAACAATGTTACAATTACAAGTTAATTTGAAAACATATTGGTCACTTGGTGGTCGTGATCAAAAAGCAATCCATGATTAGCCTTTATGAAGATTAAACAAGGTGAACTTATTAAATATTTATTTATTGAGAACACCAACTAAGAATACACCTTATACGCAACTTATAATGTCTTAATTAAGCTTCGCGGTTTTTCAATTACTTACATAATGCAACAGAAGAGAAAAAATTGAAAAGATGGCACACTATACCAAGATAATTGATTTTAATTTAGGTGCTAATATTAACTGGACTATGGAATTAATTGGTTTGTTGTTTCATTGGTCGAACATTAATTGTATTGAGTTATCATTTAATTACTAAATAAATTATACTTTTAACCGACTTCATATTAAACAATAACTTACTTTCTGTTTTATAAAATAACTCATTTGCTATTGACCGATTATTAAACAATTTAACTGAAAGAAAAAACATTGTAAGTTCCCACTTCGTGCATTGTCAGTTAATAGAATCTGACAAACAATGGTTAAGTTCAGACCCAAATTATTAGCAAACTTTTTTTAATGTGGCTATATTTTACTAATGTCAAATAAAGCATGGCGTATTATTGTTGCGTTTATTGATTTATGTGCATATTTCAAACGGTTACCTTAACATTAATATAACATTTAAAGACAGTAATCATGATTAATGTTATCATGTATAATATCCGAATTTAATGAAAAATTGATTTTTTTGTCTAATAGTAACTCTAGTCAGTAGACACGAATATCCTATTCTTTGGTAACAAAACTCAATTCCTCAAGCTTCATATCTTAAAGTTGGCGGTTTAAAGTTAACTTATTTTTACCACCTCATAGGTGCTAAGAACCTGTAGCTGCAGACAACCTAGCGGGATACCGAGGCTCTGGCTTAAATCAGGAGTAAAAACAAAGTGGTTTTAGTCAGTAAGAATCTGATATCCTCTCTCGTCTTACCCGAAGCTAGAGAAATCATTGGATGGTTGTTCCCTCAAAAAAGCAGTACTTACCTAAGTATTAATAAAATAACAGCTTGTTTTTGTTGCAGGTACCTACAAAGCCTGTTAAGTTCTTTGGTAAGTTTTACCCGGAAATCTGACGTATCAAATGTATCGAAGATGAAGAAATGGAAGACTAATTCATATGTCCAACCACGGCCAGGGTCTTGGCGGTCTGGTCGGTGTAATGATTCTTACTGGCCTGCTAAGTCCCAAGCTATGGTGGACTTTTTCAACAGTGGAGGATTTTGGGAAGAAAGAAGACGTCATTATTAATTTAGACTTGTAATGTAACTATTCTAATTATCTATTTAACAGGATTTTTTATTGTAGTATGTATGTATTAGTAGTAGACCTAGGTATGAAGTATCTGTCATGAGGTTTTGGATTACGATCGTATATAAATTTCGGCCTTAAGTTATCTTAAGGTGCTTGTTTAGATTACGTTAAGATCCTTCTACTTAGTAATATTGCAAAATACAAACTTTAATAAAGTACAACCTTAGATTTAAAAAACTAACATATCATGTTAGTGTCTGTGTAAATTTAAATTAACGATCATTTCTGATGTTGTTACTAGAAAAAATGTTATAGTTTTAAGTATAATCTAAGCATATTATAATAAAGTATAAGTATAAGAAGATGCGTAAAACTTCTAAATTATTATTGACTTTTTTAACTCAAGTTTTTTTAGTTAAGCTAAAACATAGTTGACTTTATCATAATGAATATGACGTTAACGTACGTACGAAAAATGAACCACATTAAAATGTTGTGACATTGGAACCTATTCCCAAAGCCATTCAACAGAAAACTATTAATTGACCAAATACCCACCAGAATTAGAGACAACGAACAAATCCTAACAATTGTGTGCACTAATTGTGCCATACAATGTCACTTGTTAATTAAGTACGCTCATCTGAAGGCTTTCATGTCGCCGGTCGCATTGTATTGTAGATCAGCGGTTCACGACACTGTCACTTGTTCAGGTCCCTCATCAAATGAATGGGAACATAGAATAATACTTAGGTACATCTTAGTTTAAAAAAAATTGAAGCTATGACAACACTTTTATATTATAAACGTTAGTTTTGTTGTACGGCTGCGCGACGCTCGCAGCGTTAGTTTTTGCGCATGCTGCTTTTAAATATGGAGCCCTGGTGTGACTTGAAAATGTTTTAATGCTTAATTAGCATTAAATACTTGTCTAAATCTATTAAAACCGAGTCCATAAACACCCTCTACTAGCCGCGGAGAACCTAACGGGTTACCGGGGCTCCGGCTCGAAATGCAGGAGTAGGAACGGGGTGATTTTTAGTCAGAAAGAGTCTGACACTCCCTCCTGTCTCTCCCAGGCGGGAGCAGTTATACGATGATTTTCCCGATGAAAAAAAAACGAAATTTTCGTCCCTCCTATATGCAAGGCACGCCCGCAAAAACATTTTATCTGTTTAAAGGATATGAAAACAACGTTTCTTCGGAAACATGAGCGTAAAAGTAAGTTCAACGCAAAAACATATCTTCTGATTGAGAGATGAGGTGGTGAGAGTGACGTATCCATACCACCCATTTGAAAAATATGAAACTCAACACCATTCTAATAAGTTTCGAAGATAGGAAAAAATCAAATCATTTTATTGTCAGATCACATTAAACTTAAGCCTTGAAGACTTGAAATTTGGAAGATCTCGCAAGAAATATTTTCCTTATGTGCATAAGTAAAATAATGAACTAAATGTTTTTCTATGTATACTTACTTATTTATAATTAATGTATAAATATGAAGCAAGTCGCCGTAGAGCTGGGGTTTCAAAGCGGCATGTGCCACCTGCTATGCAATGCCCTTGGAAATCCCAAACATGCTGGCGACTGTCACCAACACACCACCACCAGCGCCGTTGAAGATCCGACCACCATCGTACCTACCTACCTTTATTATATTTTTATGTTTTTTTTTATAATCCTTAAGTTTGTTTTACCCGATTGTTTTGACTTCACAAAAAGTTAATTTCACTCAATTTTCTGTTTTTTTATTCTAAGTTCTTATAATTTTTTTATTATACAGATACTTATAAATTCTAACATATTTGTTTAACCATAATACTTATTTAATGTTTTGTTTCCAGCATCAAGTTCTTTGGTTTTATCCATTCAAATCAGCATAGATATCTAGCATCTATAGTTATATATAAATACCTGTAATATGTTGATACGTAAGTAATGCAAGTTGGAACAACCACATTTCATCATCAGGAGCTATTAGACATTTATCCGCCGTTCATAATCGGGTTGACGCAGCAGGGAGACCACTCGTTTCGAGAACGCCACGAGGAAGATAAAAATATCGAAATGTTAAGGTAAGTATTTAATACATTGACTGCCGATTAAAAAAATACAGGCAAATACTTCGCTATCACTGGCCAGCGGTGAAACGTCAAATAGACCTACCAACTAGATTTCTTTTTTTAAAATCAGTCATTTGTTAAATAATAATTAGCGTTCTGTTTGTATCACATTGAAAAAAATAAGTTAACGTTCATAAAAAACTAATAACTTCACGCCTTTTATCCTCGAAGGGTAGGCAGAGGTGCACATTATACCACTGTACAATGTAACACCCACTTTTCACTATTAATGTTATGAGTCCCATGTAATAGGGGGAGCCTATTGCCATATACCGGCCACAGTTCCAGACTCCGTGCTACTACTGAGATTTTTTTAAAACCCAGTAATACTTTGCCCGACCCGGGAATCGAACCCGAGAGCCCTTACCCGGCAGTCGCAATTGCGACCACTCGGCCAACGAGGCAGTCGTTCATAAAAAACTGGAATTTAATTAGTAGATTCGTAATAAAACACCAGAATACAACATCAACTTAATTTTATTACATTCAGTCCCAACTGTCGCTTTCCTTGAAAGCAGTCACACAATCCGACATAGCTTTGCTGTCGAACTTTTCAACTATTTTATCTTTTTTCTCTACATTATCCTTTTTCTTTTCCGCTTTATCTTTTTTCTTTTCTGAACCAGCTTTTTTCTTATCCGAACTATCTTTTTTCTTAACAGCATCATCGTCTTGTTTCCCAGTATCTCCGGTATCAGTCTTGTCGCGGCCGTTTGTAGTCTTGTCGGGTAGAGGCGGAGAGATGGACTTCTTGGCCACCGGTTCCGAACCGTCAACCTAAAGACAATAGGTCCATTAATATCTTAATATAAATGAATATATAATTAAAAATATCTTTCCCGTATATTTTAAAAATTTTCCAAAAAAATACAAAGTCAAGTGAAAATTTGTTGAGCATTCCTGGACATTACTTTTAAGAAGATCGATAGATAGTGCTGGTGATGATTTCAACGCTTCTGTAGTTTTAAGCGGAATATTTTCAAAGAAATTTTCGAATTTCTGGGCAACTTTCGAATCTGCACTAATACGTATTCGTATACCAACTTCAGTATTTAAATTAAATTCAGTGTTAGAAGATCTATTTCTACCTGTCTCGGTGTTAATTATGTTCCAAGTAGTTTTTTTTTTTGCTATACGCAGTCCTAATTTTAGTGCTAATATACAGAGATTTAGCATGCTTACAAACCATTTTAAACATTTGCATCATGGTACGACCCAAAAATCATACCATTTTTACTGTCCGTCTTCGGTGACTGGGGCTACCTACCGGTAGCAATGTAGTCTCAAACGAAATGAAGAATGTAAAAAAGGTTTTGTTACGACAAGAGACTCATTCCCGGAGTGATATGGAATTGGTGTATTAAAAAAGAAACTAGTTTATTGGTAAACTTTCACACAAACTATAGTATCTACATTATGCGTATCAACCAGAAAGTCAAAACAACTCTTCAACTCCTTGATTTAAAGATCCAAATGGGACTCACGTGGAAAACGCCAGAAGAAGTCCTTTTTCTCGTGGAAACGGGTTGCGTTGTCAACGAAGCGCTGTTCGAACGTCTCCGGTTGACTTTGTGCCGCTGCTGTGTCGGTTGTGGTGACATCGGAGACTTGGGCGATCGGGGCAACTGCGGTACCTGGAGCGACGTCCTCTGACCGGCAAGGTTGCTCTTGCTCAACCCTGAACATATTATAATTAATAAATATGCAACACGTTAATCTGTCAAACACCGAGCGGTCACCGGTGACCGCGACCTATTGTTCTTTAATTGTGTCTATAAAACCGGTACTCGACGAGTTAATATGATAAAAGACATACAATATGTACACATTACCTAAGTACCTATCCATTGATAATGGTTGGTGTCAATTAGGTAGAAAATGTTTTAACATAACGAAACACATTATTGAACATGCTAACAGCATTAAGTCCTCCTTATGCAAGTGTATACAATTAAATGTATATAAATAAAAATAAATTTTCGTTCGTTAGTCTCGCTAAATATCGAGAACGGTTGAACCGATTTGGCTAATTTTGGTCTTAAATGACTTGTGGAAGTCGAGGGTAGGTTTAAGGGCTCGTACACAAAACTGCGATGCGACGTCGCATCGCAAAAGTGTGCGAGCTCCCTCTACGCATCGCAAAAACTTGCGAATTGATTTGCATCGCGCATCACAATCTTATCTTCCCAAAATCTTTTGTTTCCTTTTCCTGACAAAAGTGCACACTTCTTTTTACGATCCATGTCACGACTTAGTTTTCAATTTAAAATACGTTTAGTACGGTTGATGGTCGTCGAAGGAATGGTCACCCTGGGAGACGCCTTGTCGCACGAAATGGCATCGCAGCAATTTGCATCGTAATTTTTTGCGTTACGAATTCGCATTGCATCGCAGTTTTGTGTACAAGACCTTAAAGGTGAGAAAAAAATTTAGAGGCGGTACGAAGTTTAGGGGTCAGCTAGTAAAGGAATAAATAAAAATAAATACTGTAACTTAGAAGACACTTAACGCATCGAAAGATAAATAGACACGCACCGCAACTCAAAATTCGTAATAGGGTAATCGGCTACATGCAAGATAGGTGTCAATTTTTAAAATGATAAGAATTAATGCACGACATAAAAATCTTAACTTCATGATCTCATTTGCGCAATAAATTAGTACAAGAACAAACAAAAAGTACAAACCTTGCCGAGATTTCACGTCAGCCTTGTTTCTGTAAGAAAAATAACAAATGTTAAAATGAAATAAATACTGACACTCTGACTTTTTAAAAGGAAAAAATATTATAATGATCGCCATATCGTAAACATTATTTAATGTTTACTGCATATCTGTCAAAAGGAATCTTCATTTATGAGTAAAAAGGAATTCTATTCGGAACGTCGATTAACGTCGACTTTTTTGTTCATTTGATTCGGGAATCCTTGTCTTGGCACTTCTTTTTTTTTCTAAGCAGAACGAAGGCGCAGGACTTGTCGCCGTGTCCGTTTAATTGGGATCCGAACGCATCCGCTAATTGTGGGTGAAGTATCGGGCGACACTAGCGCCGCTGTCGCGCATTCACCTGTCGCTGGCGCTGGAACACGCCGCCGGCAAACCAAATTACTCGAACGCGGTCACGACTAACCAAAGATCTTTTTTGCGTCTATTTTTCATTGGAATTCTCGAAACCGCTGTGTCCTGTTTTCTTTGAAATGTTCATTTGAAAATAAATTGTCAGAGTAATGGACATTTCGACTTACCTACCGGTGTGTAATTGAGTCCCTAAACGCATTTCAGTCTATTTTCTGTTTTTGCCGTAAGTCGTTATAACTGAACTTGGCAGACTTCTGAATCTATTAACTTATAAAAATGTATTAGGCGTTCACACTTTGAAGCGGACGTATTTTCTATAGATTTATGGAATAGCCTAGTTAAATCTAAGACGATCCTTATACCTTACTAAGCGATCTCTTCAATCTCAAACTAACATACGGCAGACATAAACCGTCGCAATTCTCTTCATCGGACCCTCGCGTTGGATATAAATTGACTTATTTTAAATCTAATACTCGGTACTGGAGATCAATCAATTATATACGATGAGGCAAAACATAGTCCAATAAAAACTTCTACGTGATTAGATTGGAAGTATTAGAGAGGAAGCCTTTGATATTTTTATATAAAAGTGTTATTTATATGTTATAGTTGCGGACGTAAGGGATTCAAAGCTGACGACGGTTCATCTATCAAACGTATGCCCGTATAAGGCGAACGGCGCGCCGCGCAGATGACACACCAGAGACAACGTTTGATTGACTTGTAACTTTTTATTTTTTGTTGTAACGCTCGCTAATAAGCTATGTTCCCGCCGTTAAGGCAGCGTTCGGATGCGCGGTCAACGGATTGCATCCTGGTGAATAGTCCAGCATAGCACGTGAACACGTTTCTTTGGCAACTAATTGTAAAGGGGCGGCTCGTCTCGGCTGGTTATTGCATGACATCGCGCAGATCCCTACTCCACAATGACAGTTTTAGTACGAAATCCGATTATGACTATTTTATTAATTTACTGCTCCAATGAAGACAAAATGGAGCGAATAAAAATCTTGAATTTTGACCGCATTATTATGGAAAGAAAAATCTAAATAAAACATATCTGTAAATAGAACCAATCAATTTCTTTTCATTTAAATGGTCCATTCACCTCTTTTTTGTGACGTGAAATATTTCAAATCCGAGTAATAGTTACAATCGTCTTGCCCGCTGTGCGTATCCGACCGCGATTTAAATTAAATTTCAAAAGGTAAATAAATTAAAATGTCGGAGCACGCACTAACTGATTCTTAGATTATTATTTTTTCCTTTAAGAAACGTGTTCCTGTAGGCTTCCATTTATTTTTTTCTAACTCGATAATGAAATGAAAAATTCCATTGAATTACGCGGCACATTTTTCAAATTGAATATAAGAAAAACTTTTTCTTATGAATAAGCAAGTTCATTTTTATCGCACGCCAACGTTTGTGAAACTCGTTCAGATGCTGTAACTTACTCCTAACTAACCATCTGCACACTAATGCTTTAAAACGGAAGATCAGTTTTTGTTACATCGCACCGCCGCGCCCGGCTGAAGTCAGATGACGAGATAAATATGAAAGAGTAAAAATAGTTATAGGACAAAAAAGAACACAAATCCTGCCGATCTTTAGAAATTTCGTAGGAAGAAATAGAACATTTCCGATTGGACCCCATCTAAAATTATAATATTCAACCATTTGGCACACAACACTCTACTGGTAACACAAAACAACCACAAGGACTTCCAAAATAGGTAAAACCAACCCTCAATTTAGCACACATGATTTAAAATGCTCTGACAATCCTATTCTGTCTTGGGCGACGTGTTGCTGCGCAAATAACACCCATATAGAGAGGAATGGCAATGTATCGTGCTAACAGACTATAGACAAGGCTAAGGACATATTGTTAGTGGTGGTATGATGGAGGCTCATCTGAAAACAAAGTGTCCAACTGTCGGTTTGGACTCTGAACGTCAGACTCCGGACCCGCGGCAGAGGGCGCTGTAACGAGCGTCAAATACATACGATTTATGTATCCCTTTTCCATATTCGGTTACTGTGTCTCAGGTTCGCGTTGGTGTCTGTGTTACTTAGGAAATGATGTGGAAAAGTGATCATGGGTATCGGTGAAAAACTTTTTATTTGAGACGAGCTGTTACCCGCGATTTCGAATTATTAAATTTAAGAACATAACTTTCATTTGATTCAATTTTCTAAAACAAAAGTAGCCTATGTTACTCCTAATCCTAAGTACATCAGCTACCTGCCAATAAAAGTCTTACAAAATCGGTCTAAGCATAAGGCACAATACTAACAGAAAATTTGACACCAAAAAAGTCAGAACCATATTTTTGGACCAGGATCGATTGAACTCTGTTTTCAACGATTGTGAGTCGTTTACTTTGTATCCAAACAAAATTATTATGTCTGTCAAGTGTACATAATGATTATTAGTTTCGATCGTAATTCTACACGGGCGGTGCTTGTGGTGTTACGGGTCACACCGCGTTCATTACACACGAAATGGTTCCAATTTGAAATACTTGTACCGCAACAATTTCACAAGATTCTCGGAAAATCATGTCGAATTAAATCAGAGTTAATGATCATAGCAATCAAATGATTTCGGTTCGATATCGAGACAATAATGCTAGAATTTCATTTCACAGTCCATTGCGTGGTCAGCGGTCACTTATTGCGTTGTTACTATGTATAGTATTTGAAAATTGAGCTTTAATTTGCGGTTACCTGGGTACCCTTTACACGGTTTTGCTGGAATAGTTAAAGATTTTTTAACAAATCCTCTATCTTCTTCAAAAACATGTGGGAGCGACATTGCATTAGCAAAAAAGTAGGAATTAATTTGCCAATGCCGCAGATCCAAATAATATTTTACTGGCTTTTAGAATATATCACTGGCGTTATAATCGCCAATCATTCGAATACTATGCCTATGATTATAACCATACTTAGTTACCTATTTATGGGAAAAAGATAATAACGATCTCATTCGCTCATTGGCGCGTACATTTTTGTCATATATAATATTGCAATTACTCTAATTAACGCCTAGCAAGGCAATGGAAGCCTGCGTTGGCAGGGCAGCATATAAAATAGATAATGAGCTCTCATTATTTCATAAACAGCATATTCACACGAAGTGTCCACATTTTCATAGTTAATATTCTATGAAATGATTACATTTTTATACCGGGTGGACTAGTCCCGGCGACTTAGCGTTCCCTTAGTTTTATGTTAATAGAATGTAGGGACCCACGATGGGTGATTATCGCGGGGAGTAATCGTTGTTAGTGGGAACTATTCGGCGCGCGCTCAGGGCTGAGTGATCATGTCGTGGTTAAGTCTGTCTAACGGTAACAGGGTTGTATAGTTGTCGTTTTTGCCTGACAAAGGTGCACAGCTAGAAAAATGGGAACAAACATTATAACGCAACAAGAACACTGCAAAAAGTACCTTCCGTATAAAATGGCCATAAACAGACAATGACAACTGACATTTGAGCTACACAACTGGGGATCAACAGAACATGTAGACGTCAGAGATGATATTTTGAAATCTTCATTTAACTTCATCACTTTTACGCTTATAGAATTACCCAAAACAAATCATGTTGTCTCTACCTACCTCCTACTCATGTATAAAAATCAATCAAAATAACAATCAACACCTAATTTTCCAGCGGCATGCGCAAAGGCAGCCCTACGTTCAACACGCTGGGTGCGTGCGCGCACGCGCGTTACGGCGCCGTTTTGAGAGCCATTAACGCGATCACTGACTAATCGACATTAACAGGAATTTCGTGCGATTTGCCGCCGGTACTGTAACCGACACTATACACCATCTTGAAACCGACATGTAATCACGAAACTGGACACAATCGTTACTTTTTTATATGTGCAAAGGCGTGATGATAAGCAGAAACTGTAGTTTGAACTTTGCAACAGCAGAGGTGTCGTTTTCAAATAGCTAACTCCGGAACAACATTTAGCGTACATTTAGTTTTATATATAAGTTTAGTGATTTTTTTTTAAGGGGTGAAAATCATCGAATGGCTGCTCCCGCCTGGGTGAGGCGGAAGGGAGTGTCAGACTCTTACTGACTAAAAACCACCCCGTTCCTTCTCCTGCACGTCGAGCCGGAGCCCGGGTTATCCGTTAGGTTCTCCGCGACTATAAGTTTAGTGTAAAGATCAGTCAGACAGTCATTATTGTATCATAAGTATTGACTTCGAAGTAAAATAAATCAAAAAAAAAAATAATGCAGTCTATAGACAGTAATGACCTATATTAGGTACTTGCGTAATTTATAAATTGTAGTCAGAATCGAAGACCAAATATTTGCAACAAGCCTGTGTCATAACCCATCGGACTTGTTCAATCGGGTCTTATCGATTCTCTGAATATAATAATAAGGCAACGAGAAATGTTATTAGATTTTACTCGGTTGACATTTAGGCGAGCAGGCAGGTGAAAACAAGAACAAACTGTTTTAGGTTATCTATGTAAATCTGTTAGGATTTGTGCACAGGTGTCTTGTTCCAAATGTAACCCTAAGCCAAGTGTTGCAGAATCGATTATATTTACAGTTTTACTTGCTTGCTTGCTTGCTTGTGACTTTACTTGATTAAATTAA